GGCCGCGCAGGAGCAGGCCGCGCGCCTGCGCGCGCGGCGGGCCGGGGCCTCCGCGGGCCGCCGAGGGCCTGCCGAGGGCCGCCGAGGGGCCGCCCAGGGGCCGCCCAGGGGCCGTCGAGGGGCCGCCCAGCGGCCGCCCAGGGGGGCGTCGGGTCGAGGCCAGGCAGGTCCCGGCACGGCGGAAGCCAGCCCGCGCGGGTGTGCAGACGACGGGCTGCCGGACGGCGCGGGGGGGGGGGGGGGCAGCTCTGGGCCGCCCGGGGGGGGGGGGCTCGGAGGGCTTCGGAGGGGAACCCTCGGCGGCCTGCTCTGGCCCACCTGGCCCCCCTGACCTCTGGCAGCGCCCGGCCTCTCTGCTCGTCACCCCGCCAAGCTTGTGCACGGCACGAGAGGTGCTGATTTGGTTTCCTGCCAGCAGCGTCTCGCTGCTCACTCCGCAGGTGTGGTGCGCCTCGTCCTGCGAAGGTGCTGGTATACGCGGTACTCCTAGGGGGGAGGGAGGAGGGAAACCCATCCCTCGCTCCTCTCCCCTTTGCCCTTGCCCCACTGTTCCTCAGCATGGTGCCGTACCTTGCAGCACCCACCTGCCGACAGGGCCGCGGAGGTGGTGGAGGCGCCAGTCTCGTTCGAGCAGGTGCGCGAGAAGTTCTTGCGCGACCACGGGAAGGCGATCCGCCGCAGCCTCGAGCAGTGCCTCGAGGGGCAGTTGAGCTTGAGGCCAGCACCTGTGTCGGCCAAGGTCCAGGAGCCTGGCGACTAAGCGCCGGTAGGGAGAAAGACGGAGAAAAGGAGAGAGAGAGAGAGATAGACAGGCAGACAGACAGACAGACAGACAAGACAAGACAAGACAAGACAAGACAAGACAAGACAAGACAAGACAAGACAAGACAAGACAAGACAAGACAAGACCAGACCAGACCAGACCAGACCAGACAAGACAAGACAAGACAAGACAAGACAAGACAAGACAAGACAAGACAAGACAAGACAAGACAAGACAAGACAAGACAAGACAGACAGACACATGGACAGACGGAGACGGAGACGGGGACGGAGACGGAGTCGGAGACGGAGACGGAGACAGAGACGGAGACGGAGACGGAGACGAACGCAGGAAGGAAAGGATAGGGAGAGCGAAGGGTGATTTATCTTCGGGATCAGAGCGTAGAGCCTCTTGATCGCCGTGGCGCCGGGGTTGCGTCGCAGCCTGGCCCAAGTGACGGGCCACGTGCAGGCAGGCCCACCACCAGGAACCAGGGAGTAGGAGAAACTGGTCACGGGAGGAGGGAGAGAAGGAGGAGGAGGAGGAAGAGGAGGAGGAGGAGGAGGAGGAGGCGGAGGAGGAGGAGGAGGAGGAGGAGGACGAGGGGCGAGGAGAGGAGAGGAGAGGCGAGGAGAGGAGGGGAGAGGTGAGGAGAGTTTGAGGAGGAGGAGAGGTGAGGAGAGTTTGAGGAGGAGGAGGAGGAGGAGGAGGAGGAGGCGGAGTGGCGAGACGCGGCGATCGCCTCGGTCAACGCCGAGGTGGCAAAACCAGTGGTTGGAGTGATGGCCCGAGCCCCCGCCGCCTCCCCCCCCCCCACCCCTCCCCACCTCCCTCGCCCGGTCCCCGACCTCTCCCCCGCCGCCTCCCTCGCCCCCACACCCCCTCCCCACCTCCCTCGCCCGGTCCCCCGTGCCTGCCCCCCCCGACCTCCGACGCGGCCGCCGCGGCGCCCCCCCCCCCCCTCCCGGCGCCCGGCCCCGGCCGGCAGGAGCAGTTCATGGGGGCCTACCGCGACTGCGGCCTTGATGGGCCTCGGCCCACGGTCGGGGGGGGGGGGGTTCAGCGACGCATCGAGTGGGGGGATCGGCTGCAGAATGGCTGTGCCCTGAAAGGGGGGCTTGTCCTCGAATCTACGAAGAAGTCCGAAGAATGGTTGCCGACCCCATCGACATTCGACGTGTTTTGCTGGTAGATCCGGCGGGCACCGCAGCATCCTTTAAGCGACCCCTAGCGCCCCATCCCCATGCCCATCCAGACCCCCACAATCTCAGCCCCTTAGTTGGGGACATGCCCCTCGGAACCTGAAGGACACAGCCTATGTCTCCATCTTGGGGGGGGAAATCCGCCAGCTGGGCCCGGGCCACGCCCACGGGGATCGGGGTCGGTTGAACGATGCTGAGCACCCGCACCCATCCCAACCGGGCCAATCCCCGGGCCCAGGCTCGGTGCACCCTGAGAACCGAGGCCCCGAGCAAAATTGGAGCGGCCAGTCCCCAGACCCTCCTCCTCCTCCTCCTCCTCCTCCTCCCCTCTCCTCCTCCTCCTCCTCCTCCTCCTCCTCCTCCCTCCCTCCCTCCTCCTCCTCCCTCCTCCTCCTCCTCCTCCTCCTCCTCCTCCCTCCTCCTCCTCCTCCTCCTCCTCCCCACGTCGCCGAGTAGCAGGGCCTGCCCTGGAGCGGCGTGGCGGCACGCAGAGATGCGGGACGCAGAAATTGGACGTCGTGATTGTTTCACAACGTCGACCCTCAGAGGTCTGGACCCCTTCCCCGGGACCGGCTCTTCATCCCGAGTCGTTTTTTGACGGTCCCGAGGCCCAGTAAGGGCCCCCGGAGGCCGAAAATAGCGAAAAACCTCCCGTCGTGATTTTTGTCACGACGCGAGGAGGTCTGGGAACCGAGGCCCCGAGCAAAATTGGAGCGGCCAGTCTGGGGCCATTTTCGACCTCCGGTGGGCCTCCACTGGGCCCCGGAGGGCGTTGCGACAGGCCGCTCCTCGCCAGGGGGCCCGCCGCCGGGACCCTGCGGCGCGACGGAGGCGCTGGGGCGGCCGAGGCGCCCTCCCGCGGGGCCGTCTTGGCACCCTCTTGGGCCGCTTTAGGTGGTTCTCGGGCCTGAGTTTCTGATGTGTGCCCTCAGGGGCACGACGCAGGATGAAAGGCCAGCCCCAGGGAAGTGATCCAGGCCTCCGAGGGCCCACGCATCGGAGGAGGTCGAGCGCGGGACGTCTGGGCCCTGAGCCCTTGAGAGCTGGGCGTCGCAATTTTCTCGCGCCGAGCGTTTTCGCCTGTCTTCGGGCTACCAGGGCCACCACATGCCCATCGGGCTCGAGAAATGTCGCCGGAAAATGAAGGTCTGGGGCTGCGGTGGTGATTTCTGGCGCCGCAGCAATCTTGCTCGCAGCTTCGGATCTCAG